AGACAGACAGACAGACAGACAGACAGACAGACAGACAGACAGACAGACAGACAGAGAGAGAGAATAGAGGAAATAGAAAAAACGAGGAGATAAGAACGGATGAGAATCAGAAAGGCATGGACATTTCAGTATGCCTCAATGTATGCATTGCAGCATATAAAAACATCAGCAGAGAAAGTAAGTGGATTTTATTAGCCCAGATTATATTATATTTATCAATTTTTTTACGACTTGCTCTGTAATTCTTTTCCACCTTTTGCAAAACAATTATATTATGATTTATTAAATCACTAATTTTATCTTGGTGTAAGCGTATGCTCGTGCACATGTATGTATTTGTGTTTAAATGTGAGTGTGTGTGTGTGTGTGTGTGTGTGTGTGTGTGTGTGTGTGTGTGTGTGTGTGTTGTGTTGTGTGTGTTTGTGTATGTCAGCATGTGATTAATGTAGGGACCAACGTAGGGATTAATTTTATCATACTGTTGCTATCATCATTATGTTTACGTGTATGAACCTGAGGGAAAAGGGTTTCATTGATGTTTTTGGGGGTTTTTTTGTAGTTTTTTTTTTTAGTTGGAAAGGGGGGGGGGCAAAAACACTTGAATACTTTACTCACCTCCACCAGACAGGGGCACAGAAATCACCCCGGGTAGAAGCAAACATAGGGCCGCCGCAGCCACCAGGCTGAGCAGAAACGCGTGGGACGACATCATGTAGCAAGAGACACTCACAGCAATGACGACAAAGTCCTTTAGTCTTCACCACGCCGCGAATAAAATATAATATAAACCGTTTTACTTTATTCCAGAGATATTTACCTCTGATAATTATTTAGCTGTGAAAGTATCTTTTTTTAAAAGAAAAATAACAAGTTCTGTTCGTTTCTTACTCTAAAGCTCAACAAAGTTGCGATTATTTTGTTTCAAAGCTGTGAATAAAATTTTGTAATATTACTATATTATATCTGTGAGCTGTTCTCCACAGACGTTGGCTTTGGGTGTGAAGCCACTTGTGGTGTCGCCGAGATGTGTGTCTAGGGGAAGCCAGGGTGCTGCTATTTATACTGTGGATCAAAGAGGAATCTCTACGATCTGTTGGGTCCTGGGTCATTCGGGGGTTCCCTTCCCTGACGTCACGGAGTGAGCCTCATTATGAGTCAGCGACGTGTGAACGAATTTCGGCTAAGATCGGAGTCACGATCCTACAGGACGATAACAGTCAGTAGCGTGGGTTCAGTCTTGTGCTGCACGTCTAACCGTTGTGACACGCTTGGTTGAACTTACCTACATATTGCTTTTTGTCTTGGTACATATAATAATGTACTGTTACTGTTGTTGGTGGACCAAGGGTTAGATGTTTTGTTCTATTTATTTATTTATTCATTTATTCATTT